AGACCAGTTTCTAAAGATTGCAAAGAACAAAAGGTGCATTGTTACTCACTTTAGGGAAATAACACAAAAAAAATCTTGAACACATATGTTGCAAAAGTCTTCAACCCTAACATGATTATGCAGCTAATATTTGGTTGAAGCTTCTTTGGCAGCAATGACAGCTGGAAGTCGTTTTGGATAATCTCCAAAAGCTTTGCACAATATGCTGGAGATATTTTTACCCACAGATTTTCGAGTGGATTTAGGTCTGGGCTTTGGTTTGCCCAGTCAGACTTTAATTTTGTTTCTCCAAAACCATTCTTGGGTTGCCTTTTATCTGTGTTTGAGATCATTGTCTTGTTGAAATGTAAACCTTCAACCGAATTTTAGTTTTTCAGATGACTTCTTCAGATTTATATCCAACATCTGTTTGTATATTTTGCACTGTCCATGATCCTTTGAATGCGTACAAGTTCTCCAGTGCCAGCTGCAGAAAAACATCCCCACAGCATTACGGTCCCACCACCATGATTGACAGTTGGGACTGTATTTGCCGGATCTTGAGCAGTATTGGGTTTCCGCCATACATACCTTTTGTCATTTAACGCAAAAAAGTTATATTTTGGTCTCATCTGACCATAGGATTTTCTGTCATATTGCTGTAAGGTTATTGAAATGTTTAAGGGCATAGTTCATTCGCGATCTACGATGCATCTTAGTCAGTAGTGGTTCCTTTCTTGCCACCCTACCAAACAAGCCTTTTTTGTGTAAGGTGCATGATATTGTCAAGGTGTGTACAGTAACTACAGTTGTTGCTATTGAAGTCTGCAGCTCCTTCAGTGTCATTGTTGGCTTGACTGTCGCTTCTCTGACGGTTTTTCTACTTGTTCGAGCGAAGACTTTCTTAAGACGACCTGATCTTCACAACCGATTTTACAGTACTTAATGGCAAATTGAGAGCCTTTAAGATTGACTGATAGCCTTCTCCGAAATTGTGCTTCTGAACAATCATCTCCTTTAGGTCTGTAGGGAGTTATTTTCTCATCATTCTCAATATGTAACAATAAATCAAACATTAACTTTCAAAATACTCTGCTTAAACCAAATCTGATAGCTCTATATGACCTAAACTATTTTTTCACATGACTCTATAATATAATTTGGTATCTGATAGAGTTATACAGAGGCACATGTATTTACTTTAGCATGGTAGTGACGTAAAGTTAAAGCAACGATGGTAAAAGCTGAGGAGGGTGAAGACTTTTGCAACATGCGTTTTCAAGATTTTCTTGTGTTATATTACTAAATTGGGTAACAATGCACCTTTTGTTCTTTGTAATCTTTAGAAACTGGTCTGATATTAATATAATAAATATTTTTGACCATGTGAGTTATGTATTTCACAAGAAAATACCTAAACTTTATTACCAGCACAAGTGGGGGTGAAGACTTTTGCAAGGAACTGTATTACTGCATGATAGCAAAGAAAGGAATACATTACATAAGCCCAGAATATTTAGACGGCAGAGTAATGTAACTAATAAATAATGTATGTTCAACGAGAACATTATAATTACAAGTCAGCGATTCCTGAAATACAATAAACCATATGAAAATCATTCCTAAAATATCTCTGTACGCTGGAGATCTCTCTTTCAGGTTTCGCTGACTTGTAACTCTAATCGATGTTTTCTTCGAACACGGATATATATATATGTATAAAATAAGTAAAAGGATTTATTATATTTACAAGATAAAAAGATATAATAATTAAAAACACTTGAGAAACACTGCCGTAGGAAATTTTCAAAATTAATTTTCCTTCACTTTCGCATGGTTTGTTTGTTTGTTTTGAATTTCGCGCAAAGCTACACTAGGGCTATCTGCGCTAGCCGTCCCTAATTTAGCAGCGTAAGACTAGAGGGAAGGCAACTAGTCATCACCACCCACCGCCAACTCTTGGGCTACTCTTTTACCAATGAATAGTGGGATTGACCGTCACGTTATAACGCCCCCACGGCTGAAAGGGCGAGCATGTTTTTTGGTGGGACGGGGATTCGAACCCGCGACCCGCAGATTGCGAGTCGAGTGCCCTAACCACCTGGCCATGCCGGGCCCTTTCGTATGGCAATGGTGGCCAATGAGAAAGTTATTCAGAGTTCGAACTGTGAGATAAAGCGCAAGAAAAACGAAATAAACTTTTGAATGGTAAGAACAATTATTCATCTTATACTATACAGAAAAAAGTACAAGTATTAACAGTAAGTAAGTTCACAAAATATATGAGAACGAAATTTATTATTCTATTATTGGTCATGAATTTCTCTTCAATTCGTTTACCTTTCTAAAATTTTAAAATGTCCGCAGATAGTGTTAAAGGTATGTTCTTTTACGCTATATATATATGGAATATACGAAGAGATTGATTTTTACAGCGGGTTTTTCTCACGCGTATTTAAATAATGTATATATTCAATCGGTAGGTGCCGTTAATCGTCTTGGGAGGTAGGCTATAGGAATGGGAAAAAAGAGCTACGTAGCGCCATCTATTACCTTAATTAAAACTCTTCTTGACTTCAAACACTATAAGTTCAGTTATGTTTTGAAGAACTAATATATCTAATTAATAATTTACATTATTTTATAAATTAATAGTATCGGTTTTTCTTCAAATGTTAACATCAGAAATATATTCTACTAAATCAGCAAAAAATAAGGTATTACGAAAAAAAAAAGCCCATTGGTGACTCAGCGGTAATTTTAATAACAATATGACGCTAAAATTCAAGACTTTATACAGATTCGTGCTTCTATGAAGAAAAACCTATATCTCCTTAAAATATTTTTGGTGAATGATATTTAAAGATTTTTCTAGAGATACATAAAGGTCGCACTCTCAAGTGACTCAGTGATAAGCTTAAAAGATTATGAGTTAAGAATCGAGGTTCGATACATATGGCACAGATAATCTATTGTGTAGCTTTATGCTTAAACACAATATGTATAAAGAGGCATTTTTCCTTACTAATATTTTTTCATAATTAAAAACAATCAATCGTCAACAGATACGCATATCTGATGATGACAAAACCTTGTCGAAACGTTGTATATTTGCTGTTATATTAAACTTATATTAAAGTTTTTCTTCATTACCCATTCAAGCCGTCTCCAAGCATTATGATATGCATATCATTTGTCATAACAAATGGTGACACAAAACTATGTACTGTACAAGAAGGATGGTCCTGGTCTTATGCTGCTCTTGGAATTATTACTTCCATCGTCGAATATGCTCATAATAACGGCAATGATTATGGACTATTGACCGATGTTACAGTTTCCATTCTAATGAGCTTCTGATGTCATGCAACCTCGAAAATCTTACCATTATATGTAGGTGTCAGGCCACTTTAAAGCAGAACAAAGGCATACGTAGGTTACTATATAGGAGTGCTGTGATTTCAGTTTCTTCTGCTATCTTTCTCATGAGAACAGCCGTTGATTCCAAGGTATGTCAAAAAGCTTGTAAGCCTTCGTTGATATCAAATATGTGTTCACCATCTTGTTAACAGTAGCGCTAAATATGCACAGCTTCGTATTAATGGTCAGTTAAGTTAAAAGGTTCTGTTTGACAGTTATAGTCTTCCTTTTTATTCTGGATTGGATTGGGGCGTAGTTTTGGAGCACGTAACTATCCTATATGTTCTACAGTGCACCTTTTCTATTTTCATGGAGATCATTGAAACATTCCTTCTTCGAAATGTTGCGTCCTTTGGTTCTACAAAATTTAATAATCTCGATTTACATATATCTTTCTTCAAAATGGATTTGACATACTCCTTCAGTCGCAAGTCTACTTGCGGCAGGACTGCAAACTGAATGATCAGAAATTCGCAGTTAATCACACACAGGTGCTAAAGCAAAACGTTATTATAAACTGCGATTAATTTTGTATGGTCTTTAATTAGAGTTATATATGAAGAACCCAAAACGACTTTTCCAAATTAGTTTCACCGCAGCGCAGACCAATAAATAATTTTAATGTAATCTGTTATCGATCATCACAACGTCTAGTCATGCTCTTTTTGACAGCTGTGAAACTTTCCAAAACCATGCGTAGTTTCCGTTGCAGAAGGCTCAGTTGTAAGGTTTTCATGTCCAAAGCACACTACAACTCTGTGATTGCTTCCCATCAAGTGTACGAGTACGACGGTTTCTTGACGCTCGTTTCAATAGCCCTAAATTACAGAAATCAATAAGCGTTACATCTAACAAATTAATCAGTATGTCTTCATATGAAATACCACGAATATCCGGATACGTCGTGGAATCGACTTGCTTACACGTGCCTTTTGTCGCTTTTCAATACGGAAATTCTTCTTGATTATGTTGCACAATGTTGCATTGGGCACGTGGATGGCTTTTTTGCCACTGATCTTTGTCTTCGTGGAATTCCACCTGATACAAGTAGTCACACTTTGCTTACCTTGGCTGGGGAACGACTTGTTGAGGCTTCTTTCTGGATGGTCCTGAGATTCCTGATTCATATTTCTTTGTTCTCCTATGCCTTTAAGTAAAATGAACATCTCCGTTTTGGAAATTCTAAATCCCTGATCGGAATACATCTTTATGACCTGAGTGTATGAATACTTTACCGCGAAAAGAGCTGTTATATACCATTCTTAAAGATAGACAACATTAACAACCAATATCCTTATAAGGGAAGAGTTTTACAATAAAGGGGAAAGAAAGAAAACAGTTATTGTCAAGTATTAGTTCTTCTCATTGTTATGCAGTAAAGCTTTCGAAAATTTATGTAAAATCACCCATCGTTGCTCTTGATCATGGGTGCTGTGAGTATTAATTTAAAACTTGGGATCTTCATCGTGTTAAGTGAATGATTCTTATAACACATCTCTGCAGTCCACAACATAGAACGTATATACTGAGGTTTGAGGATGAACAGTGAAATTTGAATTTGGGATTGATTAGAATGTGCATAAAATATCACTAAAATCTTTGTTGCATTAAAAATCCATAAATTAAATTTAAGCGAACAACAATAAAACTATGCAGTGAATCACAACAGTCATAATATTATTCACAATCCCAGTCACCGTTACAAAGGAGGAAACGATAATCTTCTGCACCATCCTAGTCACAGTCGAAGAAGGAGAAACGTTCATTAACCAACATTATCTCAATCACCGTTATATAAGGTGAAATGATAATTTAGCAACATATTCTGCACAATCCCAGTCACATTCACAGAAGATGAAATTATCATTTAGAAATATTTTTTGCACAATCCCAGTCACATTCACAGAAGATGAAATTATCATTTAGAAATATTTTTTGCACAATCCCAGTCACATTCACAGAAGATGAAATTATCATTTAGAAATATTTTTTGCACAATCCCAGCCATATTCGCAGAAGGGAGAGAACGACCATTTAGCAAGTTGCAGTTGGCTACAGATTAATTGCGTACACATCTATAAAAGTTTAACTTGTTTACAACACTGTATGTCTTGGACAAGAGATGGTTGTTTTTGCACCCTTTAGCAATGTGGCGTTTTTCTAAATTTTGTTAAGAGCCAAACTTCACAATAGATTATGTGTGCTTTGCCCATCACGAGTATCAAAACCGGATTTTTAGTACTATAAGCACGCAGAGTTATCGCTGACCCACTGGGGGGGGGGGTAAAATACTGCGTCAAATACAATGGTATTTAAAGACACATATTCATCTGGAAATCGTTTGAATGTTTTTTGTTATTTTTTCGATTTTCTCTACTTCTTTTTGTTGGGTTAACAAATAAGCAATACCAAAAACATTGTAATCTTTTATTGTAAATGCGGTTGTTTAAGCTGGTATAAATTTTGCCTTACGAATCAATCTGGAACATTAATATTCAGCCGACAATAATATTAATTTTCCCGAAAGCGCGCCGAAGGCCACCTGGAGGATTCACCTTTTTAACACCTCGCACCACTATACAGTAATGTGTTTACTGTCAGTCAGTCAGTAGACACTAAAATGACGTCACATAAGACACTCTTAACGTCGGAATTTGTACTGTTGTGGCGTCAGTAAAGCGTGCTCATGCCATGAATCACGAAAAGAATTGTTTACTCTGTAGACTACAACACAGCATGACATATAAACTTCAAAAGCAAGCTATAAATACGCGTATAAAATGAAGTTCGTGTTAGTAAGACATAGTAAGATAAAGAGCTAGATATGGACTGCATGATTGTGAGTTTATTCATAAAGAATGTATTGTGGCGATTTTTAAATTGAAATTATCGTAGATTTTATTGTAATAACAGAACAAAGAAGAAATAATTTGTCTTGTCAAATTGTGTGCTAAAGTAACTGAACCAGTCTGTATGGACTTTAACGAAAAATAGACTTTTATTTAAAGCTCTGTATGCAGTTGTGTTAATCAACAGTATAACAAACATTTGTATATACGTTTGACTTGTCCTTTTTTAATATATTATTTTAAAACAAGTGGACTGTGCGCTGTTTGTTTATTGTTGAAATATATCGCCAACAAGTTACAGACACCTAAAGTAAAAAAATCCGGCTCACACATACATAAAAACCTGACAGCGCTATTAACATCATTGTTATCTTCTAGTCTGAGTTAATAAAGGTATGTTACACCAATGCATAACTTTTGATATTTTATTTATGTTAAGCTTACACGGAAAGCTAAGCCTGAAAGTCGTTTTCTATTTCCCTGTGTGTTATATACCTATTTGTTGTTGTTGTTCTGTTGTCTGTTACACAAAACAAGATATAGGCATTTGTCTAATATATTTTTCAGTTTAATACAGTATTTCAGATCAACTATTTCTGTTTACAATTATTTTTTATCTTTATTATGTTCTCTCTTTTTTATAGAATGGCTTACAAGTTATTTACAGAAATGCATTCCTTCGTTTATGAAAAGATGGCTTCTACAGACATTTGTGGATTGAACAAAAAGTGGTGTACAAACATAGTTATATCAACTGTTAAAAGTGCATTCAGTCGGGAATCGTGGTGACCTTTTCAAGAACTACATCGAGAAAACGAGATGAATAAAAGTAAGTTTTCTTATAAATCGTCTTCCATTTATTAGTAAGTAATGTTAGTATCCTGATACCAGTAACAACAGTTACATGTCAGCCTTTGCGGTCTGTGTGTTAAGGTAGCAACAAATAACAAAGGCAGTGCATTGGCAAAGTGCGAGCAATATCACGACAGTTCAAGAAAGTTCCTGCATTTATTCTATGTAGCTTAAACACACCCATTTGGCAGGCCTTCCCGGCTTTGATGAGAACCATAGGCTACGAATTCCGTAGAATTGTGAAACGTGCAAAAAATATAAAAATGGATAGTGACCAAAAATGAACAATGATTTCTTTGATTTACTTTTATAACAAACTGCTAGTGTTGTACTTAACTATAGCTAACAGGAAAACTGGATAAGTCTACTAATCACTTAACATACTGCTGCTAAATATATTAGATGTCCCCCCCCCCCATGTGTCGGTGTTAAGTTTACGGACAACGTTAAAATCCTGGATTCAATTCCCCGCAGTAGAGAGAGCAAATATAGTCTTTATAGGCTTTGCGCTTTCTTTTTTGTCTATTCATTGAGAGTTATTAAGCTTAACGAGCAAGTCGTCGAGTTTCATCACCAATTTAAATTTGATAATAAAATCTCGTTATTCGATCTATCTGCTGTTACTGCTTTTAGCGACAAATAGTTTACCCGTACGGGACAAATGGTACCTGTTGGTGCTGCTAATAGCAGACTTAAAGTAATAATAAATTTCTGCTAGTAATATTTAATGTTTTACAGGATCTGATCTGGCGGCATTAAAACCATTAGAGTATTACAACATTACTGTTGGATGTATATATTAGATACCAATAACGACATGATAACCATTTCTATGATAACCAAAAATTGTTAAATTATCATAAGGAAAAACCATAGAATGTTTACTTTCTTATATGTTTACTGTTTGACTATAAATATTATGTAAATATGACCGTATACATGCATTTTCTAAGAAATATGTATGTACCTTTAGTCATTTCATCGTTTTTGTTGCAATAAGGGCGTTTAGCTTAGAAGTCAATATTACAGGCATTATTATAGAAAAAACCATCACACGTGTATTTTACGTGATCTTTCTTTAAATTCAATGATGTTATGTGAAGCTATCTTTTAGACATTTGCTTCCACCATGTTTCAGAATGAAGCCAACTAACACTGTTAAGCATGGTCATAAGACAAGAACTATCTTCATAAACAAAGGAATCCCTTGATTCATCATAAAACATTATCTGGTTATTAAACATAAATGAGAAGAACCTTGGATTTGCAGTTCCAACTCCAACAGAAAAAAAGCTGTTTTTCATCCATTTTGAATGCTTCTAAAACAACGTAGGACTACATTTTCTACATTATGCAGGAAATCTATATTAAACCTGGAGCTAAATGTTAGTTTCAATTCTACGTGTGAAGCTAGCTACATACGCGAGAGTTCACTTACATGTACGAATTTCAAAGAAAGCATTTCACTTTTTAGTATAAGAAAACAGTGTTTTATTTGTGAGAAAAGCATCAGGCAAAAAAACTGTTAATTCACTCTCACAATGCCAGGATAATAAAGGTAGAATGAAAATAGTGCATTGTCAGGACTTCTTTGATTATGATCCAAGATATTACACAACATGATACTTTTCACATGCCCTAACTGCCGGACTAACGTACCTATCTTTCAACAACCTGATGAGGCCTCGGCCTACATTTCATATTTAAATTCTAATTGGTTGATGGTTGTTGTGTTGGCAATAAAGGTTCTGGAATTTGAATGTAAAATAGAAACGGGTGTTAGGTGCAACCTGTATTGTGTTTCTTTTAATTTAAAAAAAAAAAAAAAAACGAGAAAAAATAAAACAAATGTGACGTTATTATTCTGTCTGTATGCCTGATTGAATCTTTAATTTTTTTTTTCTCAAAACTGAGAATTTAATTTTTTTGGAGGGGAAGAGTATTTGTAAAGAGCCCCATGTAATTACGCAAAGAAACGCACGTGGCTCGAGAGTCGCGGGTTGTCAATCCCTGGGTTAGTCAAAAGAAAGCGCAAGCAATTAACAGAAACTGAAAAGTTCGAAAAATGCATTAGATCTGTACGTTACAAATTATGTTTTGAATTTTACCTTTGGTAAAAAGAAATCTGTACTATAATCATTAAACAGCTAGTCCGCTGTATAGATGCAATGCCATAATATTATTCATATACCTAAATTAATTTAAGTTAGAAAATGGTGGGTTAAGAAGGACTCAAAACCCCATAAATTTTCTGTTGTTCCTAAATTTTAAAAAATCTAGTTGCATTGTATGTATGAAACCGTCCTGTCTCCAATACTGCTCCAGATGTCGTTATTGCCTCTACCCCAGTTTCTTCGCTACTGTTTGTGTCCTTCCTTTGTCCTGTTGGCAGTGATCATCTACCCATATGTGTTCGTATTACTGGTCGCTTCTCTCCCTGTCACCACCCTACCAACGACTCCACTGTCATTTCCATAAAGCCGACTGGAATGATTACAGGAAGCATCTTCATTCTCTTCTTTCTGACTTTGACCCTACCACTCTTTCAAGTGCTGATGCCTTTGAACATACCCTAACATCAGCTCTTTCCTCTGAGCCATCACACTTCTTTGCCGTGCCTCCTCACTCACCTAGAACTATCACCATTCCCATGACCTACTTGTTTTACACCAATCTAGAGGTCTCCAATGCACAGCCAGAAATTTCGTTCAAGTTATTAAATGTCGTTGTTGGCATTACATGTGCAACAAACTTTGTCATTCCCCTTCCTCCTCTCAGTTTTGGACTGAGTTTCACATCCTCAATGGCCAGTATCGATCCCTTTCCTATCCTATCCTTGTGGATGGTCAGGTTTTTGTTACCATGGCCCTTTAGACCAAAGAATTTGCGAACCA